TTAAACATTGCCCTTCTTGCATTTTTAGCTGTAAAATTATTAAAATAGTTTGCATAATCTAATTCAACTTATTAATCAAATCATTTTCGATGCATAAAATTGGTAATCCATTTAATTTTTCATGTTACATAGTCGAGTAAGATAAGATTTAATCAATTTCAATTTGAAAAGTTATTTTCCTAAAAACAACTGTAACTGATACAGTCAATGGGTGTTTGAGAAGCAACTTTTTTTTGGCTAAAATAGCACTAAAAGACAAAATAGGCTAAAATACTTAATAATACAAAATGTCATATCAAATTCAAAATCATTTCATATTTTATCTCATAAACATCATATCTAACTACAAAAAAACCAAACTATCTTTTCAAATACAAAAATTTTAGCCTCCTAAAATAGCCAAAAACTAAAATAACCTACTAAAATAACAACTTTCCAAACACCCAAATAAGATTTGTAGATTTGGAAATCTTTTAGTATCAAATAATTAACCACATCAATAAATATTTTGATTTGTTTTGATAAAAACAATCATCTATTAGTCTTAAATGATTCACCACATCAACAATCTATTAGTTTTAATACATTTCAAATTCCGGTGGGCTTTATTTATATAAACTAAAAAAATAGTTTTAAAAAATATGGGCCCTTTTTTCAGTCAACTTTACGGGCCCAAAAAAGCATCTTTCCCGGCTTTTGTCCAAAGTCGGCCCTGATCACAATAGGCCAACATTCCTCGATTGATTTGAACTTAAAATCTCACCTCATTAGCAACTAAAGTATCCTCTTATGACCACTTTGACTATACCTCACTGAAAAATGATGCAGACCACTAATTAATGGTTGCATTAGGGATGTGGCAGTAGATCTCACTCACTGTCATATGTGTTTTGTGTCTTAATTTTTTTTTTTTTTTTACTTGCCACATCATTAATGGTGGTGTTAGTGGTAGAAATTTAGTGATATATAGCATTGTTGATACCTCACTCGTTGTATCTTCCCTAGACTGACTAATCACGGGTTTTCTCATTTATTACCAAAAATAAAAGATTTTGATTGGTCATTTTTCAATAAAATATAAAGAACTAAACTAGATCTCAATTCCGTAGAATAGTGGCAAGTTCAAATATCGAGAATCCATAGCGACAAAAGCTAAATTGTTTAAATCTTAGAAATCAATTCTTAATTATTCAAATGACACCAATATTTGTTTTAATCTAAAATTAACTACAGAAAATTATTAAACAAAAGAAAAGTTTACGGTGGAATTTAAGTAGATAAAAGTTCAAAGTTTTGAATCTACCACTAATCATATAACGAGTAATTAAAGTTCAAAATTTCGAACCTATCACTAATCCTAGTAAATCAATGATTGGATAATAGTGATGTATTGTGACTAGAAGTCCCGATATTATTGTCAAGAGGATGAATATATTAAAAATGTAATCACGAATCATCTTCAGTTGGCACTAATCGTCCTCACTAAATTAGGATTGCGGTACAATTTATTTTCCCTAACCGACCGTGCATTCTCAATCACAAATCGAATGCATTAAAAAAGTTTAATTGTAACGATTATTTAGACCAAATCAAAACTAAAATCACAATTTATCAATACGAGTTACTTAATTAGACCTTCATTTCAACCTTAAGGAAGAAGATTAACTGCTCATGGTTGAGATAAAATATACCATCATAGATGAGAACTCCATGATTTCGCTTTGAAAAGCTCTTCTCCTTGCCTCTCTAGCCGTTCTCTAAGGTTGAAGACCTTTATTTTGAAGTTGGAGACTTTTAACGTTGTGTTTGGTTGAGGAATTTGAGAAAGAATTTGAAAAAAAAAAAAAAAAAAAAAAAGTGTGTGAAACTAAGTGAAACGTAAGTATATTTCATTTACATTTTACCTTCTTTTCTCATTTTTCTTTCTAAATCTTTTCTTAAATCTTTCGACCAAACACAATATAAGAATCCCATGAATTAAATTAAATTCTTATCAAAGTCAGATTTTAGAAACATAACTTTTCGTCTTTTTTTTCTTGTTTGGACTTTGGGTTCCACGTATGCGGATTTCCGGCAGAGGAGAGCTTTAAATATTGGTGTTTGGGAAGGATTTTTTTTTTTTTTTTCTTTTTTTACTAAAAGATAAATTAGTTACAAAATTAAAAAAAATAAATTCAAACAAAATATCACATCAAATCCTATAATCATTTCACTTTTTCTCTCACAAACATTACATCCAACCACAAAAAAACCTAACTATCTTTCCAAACACAATTTTTTTTTCTCTAATAATATCCTACAACTAAAAAAACTTACAAAAAAACCTACTTCCCAAACACCCACATTATGTCTTGGAAATCTGTGAGGAAAATAGTTTCATACTTGCAAATTTTGACAGCAATAGATTCTTTCGAGTCCATTTTGGCCTAGTAAACGTTTGAATTAAAAAATTCGTATCTCACAAAAAATAGTAATCCTTTAGGCCCGGTTTATTTACCGTACATAAGGGGCGGATATAAGGGTGGAATCAGATATAACACAAGGTGGGTTTTACATATTTTTTTTGTCTCCTTATATCTCGTGTTTGATTACTCCGGATATAAAGAGTTCCGATAGGGTATGATGCAAAAGGGGATATGCAATACCAACTCCCTCATGCTATTGTATATTTCCCACTGTCGGATATAGAGAATCTTTCATTTAAAGGTAAAAAATAATTACTCTCCTCTTATCCCATCCTATATCCTATCTTAATCAAATATAATATAAGTGACTCTACAGTATATATAAACCATCTCATATCCTACAACATATTATGTCCTATCTTTATACTTAGGTATTATATATCCTCCTCAAATCTATATATCCAATTCGGACAATCAAACGACCCTTAAATCTTCTTTTGAATGCCCATTGACTCAGCTCAATCTAGTTCTACATGAGAGATATGTTCAAAATACCAAAGCGGTGCAGAGTGGCTAATATAGTGGGATTTCATCAAATTGACAATCTTTTCTTCTCCAAACCATGAATTGTATTTTCTTTATTCTAGTCACTTCAAATCGTTAAACCTTTGGTCTCGGGCTTGAATCAAAGTTCTCCAATTATTTATTTAAGTTTGCAAAAGCTTCCCAATTACAACATTTCCATGTAGGGACTCGATCTTCCTGAAAACTCTTAAATCAACACAAAACCATTAAGTAACGTCAAGTTCTGAACTATGAAATCTAGTTTGGAGGGTCTAAATGTATAACATTTCGGCTTTTATCATTTGTTGTTGTTGTTGTTTCTGCTCAAATTAGTATTATTTTCAATATAAATTTGAGAAACTACTAAATATTCTTAAAGCAAATTTATATAATAGAATCTATAATCTGAGTGTTGGTATTTAAAATGACAACATGAAAAGTGCCAATTGATAAATGATATTGAACATGAAGTACTTAACAATAATTTTCCATAAATTAAGCTCACATTCCCCACACATTCATTAAACTAAGGAAAATTTACCCATAAGTCCTAGTTTCTGAAAAGTTGAACCATTTAGTTCTAAAAGTTTTCTTATGCTCCATTTAGTCCCATTTGCACATCAATCTAACGTTTGAAACATTAATATGATGTTCGAAATCTAATGTTCGAAACATTAATCTGATGTTCGAAATCTAATGTTCGAAACATTAACCTGATGTTTGAAATATTGTAATGGGACCTTTCAGTCTATAAGAAAACTTTTAAGACTAAAGAGTGTATAAGTTATTAATTTGGGATTTATTAGTACATCCCCCTTAAACTAATGCAATCAAAAAAAGAAAGAAAAAAAAGTGTGGTTATGGTATCGATCAGGTTGAGCTTGCACTATATTACAAGAATATTTATGTCATCTCAATCCAACTTGTCATGACATTGAGTTTAATACAATCATTCCAAACACGGTCATAAGAAATTTTTAAATCCCAAATCTACCCACTGAAACAAATTTGGCCCTTCTAATAGTTATTTCAATCTGTGTCATTACAAAATCCTACTATAAATGATTTTTGACATTTTGCCTAAAAAGAAATATATATTTACTATTCTTATTTTTTAATTTTTTTTTCCTAGTTTATTAAGTAATTAAATAATATAAAGTTAGGTCAAATCAGGTTAGAATTCCTTATTTCAAGTTTGGCCCAATAAATAAATGAGCTCAGAATTTTAGTATAATCTGACCTTATGAGACAAAAATATTTAGGGGAGACCTTAAAAAAAAAGAAAAGAAAAAAGAAGTGAAAAATTTTAAAAATAATTACAAACTCATGAAAGTATAAACTATTTATACACTAGATTGCGCAAATGAGTGTTGTAATTTCATGAAAGAAAATGTTTGGTAGCTCAAAATTTTGTGACTCAAATGACTCAAATCTGTCAAAACGACGTCGTTTTACACTCATTTATACTCAAAACGACGTCGTTTTGAGTGATTTGAGCCACAAAATTTTGAGGTACGTAACATTGTTGTTTCATGAATTTGCAAATATTTTTTGTACTTCACATTTTTTTTTGGATATATTCCCAAATATTTATCTCAAATCCTGAAAATATGGGACTGGGTTGGGCGACCACCAGGTTGGTGTTGGCCACCCCTACCCCAAAAGATAATAAAAAAATGTTCCAACTATTTGTTAACACTCATAAGATGTTCGTTAACAAAATTCAAGAAAGAAAAGCAAAATGCAAAATGAATTTTACATTATAAACCTGTGCGGATTTAATCATAATTTTCAAATAATCAAATAGTCTATGTAGTTCAAATCTATACAATGAGGCTTAACAGATTATACAATTCAGATAAAAGTTTTTTAAATTTGCCTAATACACGTAACTTGAACGAAAATGAAACATTTTGGTAGCACTCATAGCCTCATAGGCACAAGGTTTTTTTTACTAGCCCAAAACAACCTTTCCTTGAAACACCCAACCAAACAACTCTGCTTGGAAAGATCCAATCAAATACATACATGCATAAATACATAAATTCCATACATATTCCATCAACATTGAAAATCACATCAGTCCCATCAACCTTATCTTCTTAAGTTCATAATTTTAAAATAATTTATTTATTTATTTATTGTTTTCATCTTTAAAATGCATTATTGAAGACAATTTTCTTAGGAAATGCTTGTCTATACCTCTAGCTACTAAGATCATTCAATTCACCAAGTTGTCTCTTAACTTCACATATCTTTAATAACAATTCAAAAGGTTGACCTATTTGGGGTTCAGAATCTCCGGATCTGTAATTACTTTCAGATGCTTACTCTTTCGTTTCTGTGCCCTTTTATTGTTCCTGCAGTCCGAATTACTTGTGCAGACAAAAGAAGAGAGCACAAAATAAAGGGAGATCACGCTCGTTTCGTACGCCTTCCAACCTCAAGTGCAAGCTCCGTATCAATTTTCAGGGAAATGTCAAGTGCTTTCACAGAATGTGTCAGTGCACCGCTGCAAAACATCAACACAAATATTGTAAATTTATTAAAATCATTTCATGAAACATAAGAGAAAAGTTGCTTCAATAATTCTTTGCATCCTAAACCACCAACCTTCTCTAATTTAACCTAGATAAACCCAAATTAAATATGATCCACTCACTGTTCTAAACTATTTCGATGGGCTGGCAATAAGATGTAGCTAATGAAACCTCATTGCATTTTAATGGTTAGTGTAGTGAACTCTTGTCATAGTGTTAGAGCTGAGTCCTTCACAATTTATGGTCTTACAAATTAAATATTATATCTTACTTTTTCCTGAAACCTCCCATGATACAAGCAGTCTTAGGCATCTTATTTCCAAGTCAAATGTTCTCCCTTGTTTGTTCCCATTATCAGCACATTTATCAAACATTCCTCATCGGTATTTTGCTTGCCGTTCCTTTCTTAGTTAAAATATAGTTACGCACACAACCATTTTCTTTAGATACCCATACCATTATCATCTTATTTATGGGAAAAACTATACCAAAATCCTCTTATCATGCTATATCGTGTAAGTAAAAATCTCTCCATTGTCAACAACGATGTTCTATTTTGTTTTGCATTGTCACAACCTAAAAGAACGATAATTCATTGCACCTCATGAGCAGTTAATCTGAACTACATCTCGAATCCAAAAGGCATAATACCCACGAAAAAGAGGTTCATGATGCCCCCAAGACTTCTGATTCAGGAAATATATCACCAAAAAATGGAATTTGGGAGTTCCATCAATTATGTGAACAATCACCCAACATATATATATTTTTTGAATAAACCCCAAAAGCCTGACTTCATTGACCGTGATAAAAGAATGACATCATTACCTAGAAATGTAGGTCACCCCAGTTTGTCCAATTTTGTGCACTGTTTCAAGGGTAACATTTCCAGATGCCTGTCACAATGAAACCCATATGGACATTAGATTCAGTATCTCCCATAGATATGATAACAAAAATCAAAGTAACCAAACGGTCATTTATAGTGTATCAAATGGCACCCAAAAACCATTGACGAGGATATCAAACAGCTGAGTAAAGCTTGGATGATGATGTCAAGTCAGCAACCAATAATTTATTACATCACAGCAAAAACCAACATAATATGATGAAGCAAGTTTATTTTTGAATATATATATATATATTGATAACTGCGTGTCTGGGCCAGCTTGCATTTCAATTAATCCTAGGGCCTGGAAATTAACCACCGGGCAAGCCTCCAGTGGCCCTTTTGGGGTGAGTCAAACTCGAAACCTTGAATCTTATCCTCAAGTCTTTACTGCTCAGCAAAAACCAACATAATATGATGAAGCAAGCTTATTTTTGAATATTGAAAAGCCAGTGGACTGAGAAGCATGTGGATGTTGAAAATATATGGAACACCCACAATTAAAGAAAGGATGACCGTAAATTCAAGGGTTATGACAAGCAGACAAAGGGACTCCACAGCTGTAATTAGAACAAAATGGCCAATTGATGGTAAATTCAGTATTTACACAATAGCTTAAATTCAATAATACATATTGATTGATCAGGTAGGCTTGACAATGACTAACAGAAAACTAGCATAACAAATAAATAAATTTGAATAAGCAATAAGAAATACCTCAGTGTCAAATCTGCCATTGATCAGATCTACAGCTTCTTTAAGCATTGACACGTCAACATCCCCATTAGGTAGCGGGACAACCATATTATCCAGCATTATCCTAGTCAAGGAAGTTTTTGCTTGAGATGCATAATGTAATGCCTCATTTACTTCCTCAAGTGTCCTGGTTTCAACCTGGCAACAGAAATAAAAAAAACTTCAGAAGAATACATAAATTTGCTACTAGATGAATTATGCACATGATCACAAGTACAGAGATGCATCACATGCACACGTAGAGGGCGGATGCGGGAAAGACACAAAATTTCACTTCCCAAATAAAAATTAAAATAATTTGTTCTCCTTGCACATAAACCACTCACAGAACTAGACACAACCCCCATATGAAGATTATTTTGCATTCCTAAACTTTTTCTAGAACAAAATATTAGTTGAGAACAATCAAATAATTGGGAGGCGCTTCATTATCCAATTGGCGGGTTAATATATTGTTGAGATCTACAATCCACGGGAAACATTAAAAGTTGAGGTGAGCAGATTACCTCAACCCCCATATGAAGATTATTTTGCTCTAAATATAGGTCCACAGATCTGAGAGCATCTTTGACACCCCCAGCTACTGATATATGATTATCTTTTATCATCACCATATCAAATAAACCCATTCTGTGATTCCGCCCTCCACCTATTAGTACCTGTTAATAGAGACACAAAAGATCACCAAAAAGAATTTAATTAAAAAAGGATAATAGATACAGTGCAACTACGAAGGAGAAAGCCAAAATAAGTGATCCACACCGCCCACTTGTCCACTAGACGTAAGCCTGGAGCTGTTTTCCTTGTCTCTAAAATGTATGCAGGGCGTGCAGCATCAGCCATTGCCTGCAGTGAACATGGGCATTCTGTACTTAGACACATGGATTTTATGAGGCCACTATAGCAAGACATCATTCAATCTATTATGCATCAACGTTTAAAACTTAAAATTCCATTAATAAATTAAAAACAGAAATGCTTCTTGCTTATTTGTCTATTGCAGAATTAACAATTCATCATATTTTAAGACAATAAGACTTTATTCAATCTATTTTGCACCCGCAGTTCTAAATTTAAAATTTAAAATTCTGTTACTAAATTATCTATTATCAACAACCAAGAACTCTTCCAGCTCATTTTAGTCTGTTGCAGAAATTACCTATCACCATATAGTTTTAGTTTCATAAAGTGGTGATTAAACTTGAGCTACTGAGAAATTATGGCCAAAAGATCAAGACAAAAATCAGTAACAATATGTAATGCTCACCATAGCAAATATAGCATTGAGGAACTTGTTTTGGCAATTTTTTTTGTTCTAATCTGATTTAAAATCCAAATATAATCACACCCATTTTGTTAGCACATTCCAGCCAAAGGTCCAAATTGGAGCAGATAACCATATTACTATGGACAGTGTGTTTTTTCATGCTAGAGGGAGAGAAAGAGAGAGTGGAAACAAAAATAAATAAATAAAGTGAGAAGGAAAAGGTTGCTCTACCTTTGTTAGAGTTGCTATTCCACTCATCCTCTGCATAAAATTAAGCACAACCCTTTCAGCTACAACAATGTTGTGTGCCCGCCCTGCATGTTTTTAAAAAAGTGGGGCAAAAGAGAGCTGAAGAAACAAAAACTTATTCAAATTTGTCCATTTGTGACATCGGAGCACTTTTCTTTGTTTACCATGCACTTTGCCAAACTGCAGTCCTTTCTGAACACAATCTCCATCTTTTCTTGACCACTCCACCTGATATAAGTACATAAAAAAAGAATGACCAAGCATTCAAATCACATATATATGTAAAACATAGAGACTTTTATGCCTGACCTTCAGGGTAGGATCAACCTCGCCGAATATCATCTGTGCCAGTGCAATTCCAGCAATGACCCCATTCTCTTTTGCCAAGAAATGGGCTTCTACTTCCATGTCAGCTGGAATCGTGGCCATACAGGTCACATCCCCTGTGCATTTGAAGCCACATAATGAACAATATTATGAAATGTTGTTTACAACCTTGATAATTCATAAATTACAGCTTGTAAGAGCATCTCCAATCGTTTGCTCTTTTTTTTTAGTGAAAATTTGGTTAAAAGCTTGATGTGGTGTAAAACACCCCAATCCGTACTCTTTTTTTCTTCATCAAATCTTTTTGAAAAATTCCAAACTTATCCTAAAAACCTTGTTTTAACCATTTTTGATCATAGAAAACCATCTCCAATCCTTCTCTTTTTAAAATTTCATCAAATCTGAGTAAAAGTATGAAAGTCGGGAAATTGGTGAAGATTTGTTTCATCCTTGATTTGGTGAAAAAATTGCCTCTCCCTTGATTTGATACATATTTGATGAAATGATTCAAACATCCTTTTATAACCATTTTTTCATCAAATTCAAATTTGATGAAAAAATTGACGAACGATTGAAGATTCTCTAAGAGAGTGGATTTTAGTGTAGTTGATAGTGACACAAAATATTGTTAAATCTACGTAAGGTTCATAAAGTTGAAACACATTTGCAAGAGAACCACAGAAGACGAGAGGAATTAAACCTCGATCCCCAGCATCTTCCGCGAGGGCAAGCTTGATGACACCCTTCAAATCATATGTAGGGTGAGAAGGAGGCTTTACAGCCACAGATTGGATTGATATTCCAGGGTTTCTGGTTCCTGTTGCAGACATCTTAACGATCAATCTGCAAGGTTCCCAACAAAGTGATTGAGGGTAACATAAAACACACCTATTCAAATACTATATTGATAGATTCAAAGTTATCAATAAACCTTGAAGCTGTAGATAAATGAGGCGAAACAAATGTAGAGACAGAAATGACCCCAAACATTGGTAGTTTCTTTCTGAAGCTCTTTTATAGATAAAAATGCATTACTTTATTGCTTTCACCAGGCTTCTTCTCCAATATAAACTATGCACCAAATGTGAACGGCAAGCTACAAATCTCCTTTGAGCTTTTTGTTCATGTATAGGAAGAAGTTATCAAAAACAGACCTAGAATACAACGAGATCAGGTTACAGTAGTCGTGCGACAGCCATATGTCAACAAATTCTAGGTAATCATGAAAAAAACGCATACAAGAGTTTCAATAAAGCTATGGACATTGTCTTATTACTGCATAATGATGTGGACTACCACATATACAAAATATGGGCGTCACCACTAAAACATTTCAAACTATCACGCGTAGTGAGACAGATGGACAAAAGAAAAACATTCAGTGTGATGGGTACTCACACACTCACTCAGTATAGAGAATTCACAACCCCTGAGCTTTGGACATTCACCTGCCGACCCAAACTTTTCTCACTGGCAATCTAATTGTGGGTTTGGTCATTTCACTGGCCTATTGTTTATTCATCTTGATTGCTGCAGTTTATGGGAAAAACTGATTCCCTTTTATTCAAAGTCCATGTTTGTTTTCCCGTGAAACAAAATACCTTAAAAAACACAAACCAGTGGCTTTTTTTATTTTATTTTATTTTTTAAATTTTAAAGATTGCTCTTCATGTACGTTCCTTTTAACACAAATAACCCACTTTCATCCATTATTTCCTATTTTTGCTCCTATGTTTCACATAAAGCAATCACCTATTTTGTTATGGGCACACAGCCACGTGGTAGGGCAGACCTACCAGATATCTTCCCAAGAAGATGGGTTAAATTTGAAAACTGTTTAACAGTTATTATAACCATTTAGCAGTTATTTTATAAGCATTGTTGGAAAAGAAAATAGCGTTACAAGCTTCGAACCATCTTTTGAGTTGTAGATAAAAATTGGAATTTCTACATGATATGGTTTGAATATATTGTATTTCGATTCAATTATACAATATGAATTTGCGATTTGAAGAACTAAAAAAAATTCATCACACAAACATTTCTTTGAGAACTCACAGATAAATCAAGAGCAACAAACCCACTAATCAAATTAGACGACCTGAAATCCACAATCATTAAAAAAAAAAATCTAAAATTCATAAATACCTAATGTTGTGGCAGAGTTGGAACTTGTGTGGCCTATCAAAGCTATAAGATCTATTTTCTGGTGAAATCTAGCAAGTGTTGGAGATTACAAGTCAGATTTTGAGGCTTCGATTTGGTAATCAATGCTCAAAATTCGGTAATCTTCATCCAGAGGCTGCAGAACTCCCACATATATTGATTTATTAGAAATTATGAGTCAATATATCAGATAGCATTCCCGATCCATTAGAAAGAAATACACTCATATGTGACATCAAAACATAATTGAGAATATTAAAAAAAAAGAAAAAAAAAAAGAAAAAGGTTAACAACTCACAAAAATGATGTATATAAATACTCTTGTTAAACCAAACCAAATCTTAAGTCCCATCAAATGGGGTCAGTTACATGAATCCTTCTCTACGCAGCTCTATCGAAGGCTATTTCGTTAGTCAAATTAAGTAGATCCATTCTCTATTTATAACGCTAGCCAAAGTTAATCTAGGTCTACCCGGCCTCTTAACATTACCATCCACCGTCACTGTATCGCATTTCTTTACTACTGCCTCTGTTGATTTCCGTTGAATAGGACCAAACCATCTCAATCGATTCTATCTCAACTTAACTTCTATCGGTGCTACTCCTACCCATTCCGGAATACACTTATTCTTAATTCTGTCTTGTCTAGTCTTGCCACATATCCACCTTAGCATCCTCATCTCAGCAACACTCATCTTATTTACATGTTGTTTCTTGGTTGCCCAACACTCCGCCTCATATAACATCGCTGGTCTAATAACCGTTGTATAAAACTTACTTTTAGTCTAGTGGGTATTTGTTTATCGTACAGTACTCTAGATGCACTTCTCCACTTAAGCCATCCCGCCTTAATCTTATGGGGCACCTCCGCATCAATCTCTCCCGCCGTTGTGATAATTGATCCTAAATAATGAAAATATTTACTCTTAAGTAGTTCTTGGTTCTCAATCTTCAGTTCTTCTTTGCTTTCATTGTTGCTGTTATTAAATTTATATTCCATGTACTCTGTTTTAATTCCGCTTATTCGGAATCTTTTAGATTCAAGTGTTTTTCTCCAAATCTCCAACTTTGTGTTAACTCCTTCTCTAGTCTCATCCACTAACACGATATCATCTGCAAAAAGCATGCACCATGGCACGTCATCCTGAATATTTCTCGTTAACTCATCTATAACTAAAGTAAAAAGATAAGGACTTAAAATAGATCCTTAATGTAACCCTACAATGATAGGAAATTCATTTGTCTCTCCAGCAAGCGAACTAATAGTGATCACCACCTCTTCATACATGTCCCTAATTACATCAGTGTAACCTTTTGTCACCTCTTTTTTTTTTAACACCCACCATATTATATCCCGAGACACTCTATCATATACTTTCTCAAGGTCGATAAACACCATATGAATGTCTATTTTCTTTTCTCTATATTTTTCTATTACTCTCCTCAAAAGATAGATCGCTTTCATTGTTGACCTGCCACGCATAAACTCAAATTAGTTCTCTGACACCTCTGTGTTATATATCGCAATTGGTGTTCCATCACCCTCTCCCACACTTTCATTATATGACACATTAGCTTGATTCCTCTATAGTTGTTGCAATTCTAGACATCTTTATTTTTATAGATTGGCACTAAAATATTCTTCCTCCACTCATTTAGCATGTGCCTAGTCAACAAAATTTTGCTAAACAACCTAGTCAACCAAACAACCCCCTTTTTACCCAAACACTTTCAAGCTTCAATAGGGATATCATCGGGTCCTAAAGCCTTATTTGGTTTCATCTTCTTAAGTGCAATCTCCACTTCAAAGTTCTTAATCTTGCGATAGAATCTATAGTATTGGTTTTTCATATTACTGACTATTTCTTCCCCTATTGATGTACCTCCATGTTCCTCATTTAATACTTTCTCAAAATAGTTCTTCCATCTCTCCTTAATCTCTTTATCTTTCACTAATACCTTAGAATCCTCACTTTTGATGCACTTAACTTGATTAAAATCTCATATTTTCCTCTCTCGTATCTTAACAAGTTTGTAGACTCTCTTTTCTCCCTCCTTACTATCTAGTCTAGTGTATAGTTTATCATAAGCTTTCAACTTAGCCTCTCTCACTACTTTATTGACCTCTTTATTAGCCAATCTATAGCTCTTAAGGTTTTTCTCAATTCTATCATTTTGTCACTTTTTAAAACACTCTTTTTTTGCCTTAACTACCACTTGAATCTCTTCCCTCCACTACCAAGTTTCCCTAGAGCTGGGTCCCGTTCCTTTCGACTCTCCAAGCACTTCCCTTGAGATTCTCCTCATACAATTGGCCATGGAGTTCCACATAGTGTTAGCATCATCTTCCAAGTCCCAAGTACTTTCCTTGTCCATTCTATTCTTAAATATTTTTAGTTTATCCCCTTTTAGGTCCCACCATCTCGTCCTACGATGCCCACCATTTTTCCTAGCTTGGTATTGCCCTTTAAAACATAAATCTAGTACAAAAATTCTATGTTGAGAGGTCAGGCTCTCTCCAAGAATCACCTTACAATCACTGCATTTTAGGCGGTCCACTTTTCTCACTAAAAAATAATCTATTTGGCTCTTAACTAACCCTCTTAAAGGTTGTCAAATGCTCCTCCCTCTTCTTATACGTAGTATTGGTCACCACCAGGTCAGAAACTAACACAAAATCTAAGATTCTCTCTCCAGACTCATTTCTATCACCAAAACCGTATCCACCATGCACCATTTCATAACCTAATTTATTTATGTCTACATGGCCATTGAAATCTCCACCTAGAACTAGGTTCTCTCCTATGGGTATCTCCTATAAGATCTCATCCATTCGCTCTCAAAAATCCCTCTCAGTCTGATCATCTAATCCTACTTGAGGGACATATGCACTAATAACGTTCATTATATTCCTTCCAATAACTTGTTTAACTAACATAATCCTATCCCCTTTCCTAATGACTGCCACTACATTTTCCACAAGACTCTTGGCAACTATGATTCCTATCCCTTTCTTGCGTCTATTTCCTCACAAATTTATAATAGATTAATTTTTCAAATGTATTACGAAGGGAATAAGACTAAATGAAGGTCCAACAAAATGACACATGTCTCTAGAATGAATCACATGTAAATAAATATAAATATATATATATATATATATAACTATAAAAAGAAACTTTCACCAAGTCCATATTGAATAGCTGAAGACCATAAAGCATTATAACAACTCCTATAAAAAATTATATCAAGATTTGTTTTTAAATGTCTTAATCTGTTTGTGTTGAATCATGTAGAGTGTTCACAAAAATTATTCAATTAGCCTCAAATCTCTCTCAATTTCAATTTCTTTCCAACTCCTATTAAACAGTGGTATAGTGGGAGATATGACACTGCTATTGAACTTCCTATTAATTGAGCAAACTTCACCGCAAAATGCACATCCCCAACCATATGAAGAAGCCAAATCTTGCACTACAAATTAATTCATAACAAGATAAAAAAAAAAATCTCCATAAAGCAACCGAGGAAAAAAAAAAAAAAATTCTAGAAAGATGCAATCCTTTTCGTTTTGTTTTCGTTACATTTGTTGCCTTCTTTCAGTAGGGGAAAAGAAAAAGAAAAAAAAAGCATTCTAGAAAGATGCAATCCTTTTTGTTTTGTTTTTGTTATATTTGTACCTTCTTCCAGTAGGTCATCTGAAAAAGAATGGACTCTCAAGGGCACTTAAACCATTCCACAGATCTACACATATACTAAAATTGAGAACTAATTACAACAAAGATTAAAATAAAACACACAAACCACTAAATCAGTCTATATCATTCTATCTAGAAGCAAAATCGCCAAACAACCGTAGGCCATCTGAAGAAGAATGGACTCTCAAGGGCACTTAAACCATTCCACAGATCTACACATACACTAAAATTGAGAACTAATTACAACAAAGCTTAAAATAAAACACACAAACCACTAAATCAGTCTATATCATTCTATCTAGAAGCAAAATCGCCAAACAACCAGCAATTACAAATAAAATCATCTGTACCTCCACAAAAATCATCTACAATTTCAACCAATAATATTAAAGGGTGGTTTGGGAATTAGTATTAGCTTCTTCTTTTTTTCCTTTTCAATTTTTTTTTCCTTCTACAACTGAAATGGCACAAAACCCTCAAACTGTAAAATTTACTCAACAAATAATAACTCAGAGTTGTATACGAGTTGAAGTAATAACAAAACTATTTCTAGATAAACATCTTTGACAATTCTTGAGAAAAAAGTTTACTACAAATCTGGGCTACCAATTTTCCTAAATAAATTACCAATGCAATGTTGCAAGTAGTCAAGAAGCTGTTCTGATAATTGGCAAGTGAGAATAAGCAAGTAGTGATCTTGAAAAGTTTAAATGATTCACCAATTTTCATAAAACAAAGAAAACAAGACAAACGAACAAAAAAAAAAAAAAAAATCTGGGCTACCAATTTTCATAAATAATCACAAAATGAAGGGCAAGATATAAGATTTTTAGGATGAACTACAGTCTACTGTTTAAATTAATTAGTTTAATTGTTTATACATCTATTTTTCAATTGAAATCCCAAATCAAAACTTTTTTTTTTTTTTTTTTCCCCAAAACTCCAAATCTTAACCCTAGAACAAATAGGTTCCAAACCTGGTTAAAGGGAGAGAGTTTTCTCCTTCGCCGAGTCTCTCCGCCGCGAGTTCATTTCTTTCGTCTCTCTCCGTCGTTCCCCTTCCTGCCGGCTTCTTCCCTCTCTATCGTTTCTCCTATCTCTCTCAACAAAACATTTTTTATTTTTCTTTTCAGGAGTAATATAGGTAGATTTTTTTTTGAGACAAATGGCTGTGCTTAGTTTGTGATTGCAAAGTAGTTTTTGACGTAAAAAAAAGTATGAAAACTTATTTGGTTTATTTTTTTTTAAAAATAATTTTAGAAAATTATTTTGGAGAGAGAGTTTTAAAAAAAATAATTGATTTGATGTGTATGAAAAAAAGAGTGCTTTTGAAAAATAAGTAACTAAATAAAATTTTGAAATTTTTGTTAAAAAAATTTGCTTGATTTGATTACTCTTGAAAATTTGTTTGTAGAAAATTTTTTCTAAAATTTTTTTTCAAAAAATAAACCAAACAAGGCTAATTTTTGTCACTGATCACCAATTTTAGGCGCGCTCAATTCCGAATGGCGCACTCAATTTGGTCTTAAAAAAAAAAATTCAACTTCTTGTGATTTTTATGACAAGGGCCTCTTTTGGGAAGTGGGATATAATCCACTTCTCGGATTATAACTCACTTCCTCTCTCACAAAAAATATTGTTTATAAATAATTTTTTATCAAAAAGTTGATTATAACCATCTTTTCAAAATAGTCCAAAATAGAGGTTAGGTTTGGTTTGATTTCATTTTTAATTTTTTTTTTTGAATTATCATTTATGTTTAGTGATTTTTTTCTTCATATTTTCATCAAATTTTTTTTATACTTTTTATTTGCACCTAATTTAAATGCATTTAAAAAATATTTTTTAAAAAATTGACTAAAATATCATAAAAATTCATTATGAACAGATAAAAATTTAAATAAAAATCTGTGTACATTTTTGTTTGAATTTTCGTTTACTTTTAATGAATTTTTTTTCATGTTTAGTTATTATTATTTTTTATTTTTTTATATGTATCTAATCTTAATATATTTACAACATACAAAATTTTGACTAAAATATGGGGAAAAAAAATTATAAAAACAAAAAAAAATTCGTTTAAAAATAATTTCTAAGAATTTAAACCAACAAAATTTAAAGTTCAAAAACTAGCGAAGAATAATATTTTTATCACCAATCAATTTGGTTTTGAGTTTTTGTTTTTCGTTTGTCTTTGGAATTTTTTTTTTAAGTTGTAGTTATTAATATTTTTTCTAAATACATCTAATCTAGATATATACTTAAAAACTAAAATATTTGTGAAAAAATTTAAAAATAATTCAATAAAAATATGAAAATATACTAAATTTTTATATTTTTTTTGTGAATTTTTTTAAGTGTTTTCATAAATTCTGTACTTTTTAAATTTATCTGAATTGAAGGGATATAAAAGTAAATAAATATATATATTAAAATATTAAAAAAGGTTCACTAAAAAAATACAAATTAAAAATTAATTCTTTAAAACTTCACAATATACAGGGTGTGTAACGCCCTGACTTTTATTACCCGAATTCATTACTAAATCCTCATATTATTACCACCTGACAAGATTATAACCATTCAAGAACAAGTACGAAACAAATAGTAACATTCTCTCACAGCAATGATGATGAAATAAAAATAAGTCATGGTACAATGCCTTTACGTTTATATTGAATGACAATAATTAAAAACAAAAGGGATTTACCCTTGTACAATACATGACACTCGGCCTACAAGTAAAGGGCCCCATGGCTAACAATTAAGTGACTTTAAGTCATGAATAATCCTCCAGCCTTGAACCTGAAAAAGATTGTCAATACATGGGATGAGCACTAAACCTAGTAGAGATCCCGAAGATCCTAACCAATCACAACATATAGATAAAAATGATCATGAATGCATCATGACATACCATATAAGTAGTGTGACATTGAATATCCACAATATACATATATAGTTGTGTTTTTCCCAAAACGTTTTTTTTTGACACAATTCAATATAAGATCATTTCTTCTTTTTCACATTCCCATCGTTACTCTCAAAGGAAAAATGTTTTAAAGCCTTATGTTTTTTGTTTTATAAAACTTCACACGTTAACATAAAAGAATCTCACTTAAACAATCGTTCCGAAAATATAACTCCACATGCAAATTATAAAACCCCATCCTACCTCTCAATACACTATGAGCATTTACATCCCAATATATATGTCTACAACCTTCCCTGATCATAGGCCCAAGGATTTAAAAAAAGGTGACTGGTATGAAACCATGAACACATATATACATTCAAACGAGATAACCGAAGTAATACATACTATAAATCTCATCTTCATAATATGAAAACTGACAACACGTATATATATATATATATATCCATACAAGATGACTGAAGTAATACATACTACCAATCTTATTTCCATCGGTCTACAGCACAGATGACAGATCCAACAATACCAATAACATATAACACGTTACCGGCCTCACCCGGAAGGAGGTGCTCCTCAGGTCATACTTTACTGGGCGCAAATCGAAAGGGAATGAAGAACTTATCACAATGCGCCACGCTTTGGCGGCTAAGATACGGCGGGAAACGGACATCCTTTTCACACTTTACCGGGCGTAAACCGGAAGGGACGATGAAATCTTTGTCAAGGTGCCATGCTTTGCCGGCTCAATACAACGGGAAATGGACCCCCAAACATCATCACAATAAAACATAATCACGCTAACCGACATCAATAATACACAGTGTAATACATACACCTAGTCCGATCACCACCATAATAATCACTATCAGTTAATTACATTAACTCATTTCTTTTAAAATATACTCTGCGAACCACCGTTCCACACGGGTTTTCCTTTATTTTAAACATTCCCAAATTTATAACTCAACAATGGAGTTGTCTATTTACAATGTTCACTTACAACAAACAACAAATCATCTCATATCACATAGTCCATCCTGCAATAGTACACATGGCATATATTTAACAAATACCATCCTCCACTAATGGCCAACGACAAAACTCTAGACACCAACTACATAATCCGAAATAATAAATACACCCATAGGTAATTCCATACTCCCATTCATTGCAACCCTCATGTTTTATAAAAAAAAAGTAATTAGTTCCATTTTGTTTTGAAAATAAAACCTCATTACTCCAAATTCCAACAAACACCACAAAGGCCGCGTCTACCAACATTAATCCAAAACCCCAATCATTCACAAACAACCACATCATAACCCCATGTCTACTTAACATTAAACTTCTCTTTGATATTCCAATTTAATAAACGAAATGCCAAACCTTACCAATTTATATCCTAAACATGATTTATAACCCACAACCAATTATACACATAATCCACAAACTCACCAATGTAAACCCAAATCCACCCATATACTTTTTAACAAAAACCAACAATAAACTATGTTTTTAAATGCCATAAAAATTACCACAAGAGTATCTATAGTGAGGTATTGAAAAAAAGCTCAAACATCCCTACCTCTTGAAGTGAAGGGAAGAGAAGCCGAAAATCCACCGGCGACAAAAACAGGATCCGCTCAGATCAAAAGGAAACCCCTGCGACCGTTTACGTTTTGATCTATAGGACTAGGGATAGAAAATGGAAGTTTACAATGATCGCTCGAGCGCAGGAAGTGTCGCTCAAGCGCAGAAGAAAAATTTTGGGCAATAACAGCTTGAGAAACAAGTCACCAACCTATTCCTAACACAACCAAGACACTCTAATAACCAAACCCAATAAACAATGAGTAGAAGCAAGACATGAACAACCAAAAAGCCAATGAAACCCGGATCCAAAACATCAATGGGTCGGATTCAAACCAAGATCGCAATAGGGTGATACTATCTTAATTTTTAAAATTGGCAACAAATTCTTATTTTTTTCATCTATATTTTTGCTCACAAAAAAATAACTACATTAATCATCTTTTTTTTTTCTTATTTAATTATTATTATTATTATTTTTCTTTTATGGAGAGAGGTTTTGGCCTTCGATTTTTCCGAAATGAGTGCTTTAGAGAAAAAGTGAAGAGTTGGTTCAAAAAAGAAGAAAAAAGTACTTAGTGCAAGAGGGGGCTTGACTGTGAGAAAGAATAGTAGCCTTGCAAAATGTGTCTTTTTTCGATAACAATGCTTGCATGCACAAAGGGCTTAAATGTGAGAGAGAATAGAGGAGCTTGAGTTCGAAATAGAAGAGATGATTTATAGAGATTGTTTTCTCGAGTCACGACTTCAATACTTGTGAGAAAGGAGGCTCAAGGGCGAGAGAGAAAGGAGGGTGTCACACCCGAAAATTTACACAATAAGGATTTGTCAACTACCATTGTATAATGTAAACGTACGTAAGTCTCAATATTAGCATCATTCTCAAATCTCCAACATTTATATTCAAAACCATCAAGAGATTTACAAAAGAATATTCCACATGCGACTATGCATTCAACATCCCTGGTATATGAATCTATAGCATGTGGCATAGTAAGTCCAATATGAATCAATGCCCTAAAGGGCTACAAATTCCAAGGCTTAAGCTTGGTTACACAAAAGTGGTTCTCGAACCCATACATATAAAGCCCTTGGCTTGTCAAAAATAATTACAACAAAGAAAAGAGCCTTGTGCTCTCAAAACATATTCCACGCCAATAACTCGGCAGGATCACCACATCCTTTCCTGCACAAAATCCCATAGGGTGAGCATAAAGCCTAGTAGGAAAATATTAACAAAGTATATACATTTTATACAATCTCATAGGATGAATACATATGCCATTCCATGTTCAAAAACATATTTCTTTATCTTTGAAACTTTTATGCATAATGTAATATTGAGAATTTAACAATTCAATAGTTACAATGCAATTAAAAGGGGTGGTAAATACGACTCAAGCAAATCCCTAGGGTTAGTGTCTGCAAGTAGGCGTATCAAGCACTACCAAATCCTACCTTACTGGTTTCTAACCGGAGGACTTAGGCACCCGTAAGTGCGTGTTTCTGGTTTTACACTAAGGACACTTAGGCTAACTTAATTCTCAAACTATACCCCCTAACAGGATTTTCCACCGTATTTACCCCCAAAATAAATCAATATGATTTTGTTTCACAAAACAATTTCCT